AAAAAAAAAAGAAAAAAATACTTGCTATGGACTAGAACACTTCAGGCGCATCGAAAACTGTTTTTTGCTCTTGTTTAGTGCTTCAGGAGGTAATTAGTTGAGATGAAAGTTGATCAGAGAGCGGTATTTATTTTGGATTTTTTCCTAACACACATTGTTACAGACAGGCTTGTTTTTAGCATGAGAACTTGAAGGTAGGAGTGCTGCAAAGCACTATGATACGGAGCAGTCATCTAAGCGTTGGAATTGGTGTTTTCATCCGTTCTTTGTATTCGCTATACTCTCTTTTTCGTTTGTATTCTTGCGTATTTTGAGTCTTAAAAAAAAAAGCACCTGTTCAGTGAAGCATTACCAAAGAAAGTTTAATAGTTTTTAGCTTTAACTTGCCAGTATCACGAAGATTCTCGTTCTTATTTTGCTTCTTAAAATAGACTTTTGAGGAATGTAGCCTAGTCTTTTGTTAATTCCACAGTTGAAGCAGAGACAGCTGTTTTAAAATGAGATTACTTGCTTTTCAGTTCTTCAATATACATTTGAACTATATATTTTTATTTCTTTTAGAACCCTTGCAAAAACTGTTGATGACGTCTTTCAACTTTTTACGTCCAAGTCATTTTCTTTTTTGAGTTTTTGTATTTTCGTATTAGAATGGATTATCCTGCTCTGAAATACAGCGCAAATGGCAGTAATGAAAATAACGAATTGTTAGCAGTTAAATTTGTTTTAAAACAAATTAGCGCGATATGCTCTTTTATATTTTTGAGTTACAATTGTTTTCTTCTAAAAAAAGCTTTTTAGGTTTTTTACTTTAATGTTTTATTGATATTTGGAACGCTAACCAGCCTACTTTTTTTGTTACATAACAATGGCTCGGGGGAAAAAGAAAACAGAGCCTGCTGATATTGAAGGTGAAGTCCGAAACCAGTTGCTGGATATGCGGAAAAAGGTAGAACTTTTTCGCTGATTGCGATATAAACAAACTTTGAGATGTTATATGAAAGACAAGTGCTGGATTTATAGCTGTCAGTGAGACCATGACTATTTTTAACATAGTCGACGAGTTATTCCTTGTCGTAGCATTAGGGAGTGATATTCTTTAGAACGAAACCTTTACTAGTAACCAAATTTATATCGATCTGTATAGTATGATAGCTTTATTACTGTTCCCAATTTTCAGGTTCAACAAGCTGTTGAAAACAAGGAGAAAACAAATGAAAAATTAAAAAATGTTCAGGCCACTCTTGACAAGAACAGTATAACTATTGGATATAAACCTGCTGGGTCTTTGCGCTCGAAATTGTTGGCACAATATAAAGAAGGTGTTTTGGTTTTCAGTCTTGAATTTTTACTTTCCACAGTCATCTTATTTTCAAGCACAGCACTCGTTTTGATTAATGTTATTTGATTATATCCGACTCTGAAAAAAAGTTAGAAAATTGTATGAGGCTTTGAAAAGGTATATATATTTAGAATCACTGTCATTATTCGTTTGTACCATTACACCTTTTTTTTTAGCAAAGGAGACTCTGGAGAACGAGGAAATACTACTTCGAGAGCTATTAACTCAAATTTCTGAGTTACACGACAAGGTTTATGAGGCAAAAAGAGCATCTTCATTAAAACGCGGTGAATTAATGGAGTTGTTAGTTCAACGTGCCCGTTTTACACCTCTTTGGGTTAGTAAACCCGATGAATTCCCTCCGCCGCTGGTAGGAGCAATTCCAGCTTCTGACTCAGAGGCTCTCCGAGTAATTTTTTAGTTTAAAGTCTTTTATCGGTATGACAGTCATTAAAAAATGTTGTGTCTAACTTTCAAAAGTTTGAGGTACTTACTTTGTCTAATACTATAGCACGCAAAATATTTAGGATAACTTTTAGATTGGGTGGGACGTTGCTGCGTTTGTGAATAACATTTGGATGTTGGCAGAGGTCGTTGGCGTGTCTGCGTCATCTGGGAGCTATGAAGTAAGGGATCTGGATGATGAGCAGAAAGACAAAAAATACAGTGTTCGCAGAAGTCGAATGATTCCGCTCCCTCATTGGAGGGCAGATCCGCAGCGTGATAGCCACGCGTTGTTTCCTGTAAATGCTATCGTGTTAGCACTTTATCCTCAGACTACTTGCTTTTACAAGGTATGTTATCGTGTTTTTGTAGTGGGCTTTGAACCTGTTATTTATCTCTTATTCACTATACCTTCGTTGTGTTCATCTTTGTTTCACATATATCGCAGAAGATTCGAGGCTCTATTTTAATATTTATTTGTAGGGAGTGATCGAACGTGTGCCGGAAACTGCAAATGATGGTTATATGGTTGCGTTTGAGGATGCCCAGTTTCCTCAAGGGTACTCACCGCCGCTTCCTATACCTCAGCGCTACGTTGTCGTCCATAAAGTCCCGCGACCTTATAAAAAAAAACGAAAGAATGAGTACTGATTTTACGTTATTTTATATTTTGACTTTGTAATGAAATGATTGATTTTTCTTTTTCTAAATGACTCTTTTATAGGTTCGTGCTTTTATAGACATTGTCAAAAGAGTGGTGGTTTTATAAGGAATTCTAAAATTAGCTTAAACCGGTCAGCAGTTGCTGTTACTAGTGACAGAAGATGAGTTTTTTTGTGAAACTAATTGAAAGTTTTTAGTTGATTGTTCGGAGTTTCATTTTGTCTATCTGTATTTTGCATAATATCTATTCTTAATTATTTCCATTTGCCGCATATTTGTCTTCATTGCATTGTAATTGTACATAATTTTCAGAAAGTCATGCTTCTGAATTTACATTTCTATGAAATTTTTGTGGAAAGTCGAAACAAATTTTATTTCTCGAACAATACTTATTTCAAACAGGTGGTATGTCAGGCGGAAGTGAGTGGCAATGACTTAGTAAACTTCGCAGTAATAGGACTGTATATTTACTTATTTGTATATAGTGTGGTTTAATGTGAATTGAAAATCACTGGCTTTGTCTGTCGACTAAAACTTGTCTGTATTTAGTGTCTAATTTCAAAATAAAGCTGATAATTATTACTAATTCATTTTTTTGTTCGTTTTTTCAGTTAGAGAACTTGTAAAAAAGCTATTTCTACCAGTGTTTTTTTTCTGCGTTTAGATGAGACAAGTTTATGGACTGCATTTTTACGTCAGGGAGCATTCATTCAAGTGTTCACGAAAAGGTCTTAAACATGGTAGTCGTATTGGTATGCAGAAATTTATTGGTTTAGTTAAGGTGATATTTTTTGATATTTCACGGAGAGTTTTGCTGAAGTATTCAAAGCCAATATTTGGTAGTTGTTTAGCTGCGTGCAAAGCATTTTTCTGAAAACTGAGTAGCAGATATGTTTCAAGTCAGTCAAGTCAAGGATTATTTGAAACATTACTCATACTTGCAACGTAATCATTGGGTTGGTTATCGGCATATAGTGGGATTCTTCTACAGCATTTTCGGTCGTCGTTAAGTTAAAGCAGTAACTGCTTCATTTTCATGGTGGCATGAAGTTTTAAGAAGTGTTTAGAATTAATTGCTCAAAAACTCGTTTTACCTGGAGGCAGCTTGTGTAGTACTAAATACTTGGATTCTGCCGCAGGGTTTCGGAGCTTTCATGCAAATTTTCAGTCGTTTTAAGTGTTCTTAGTCAGGAACCAGTTAATTTATCAATGATTTTTTGCAGAATTTCGCTTTGTTTAACGTTACGGTAGTTAAGTGTACGCACCTGCAAAGGCGTTTTTTTATCTGCTAAATAGATTTCGTTTCTCGTTGTGAGTTTCTCGACGCCGTTTATTACGTAGATTCATTTATGTTCTTATTGCGTTTTACAAAGCAATTTTTTCAGTAGTGTATGCCGTAATGAGCAGCGACTACTTTTGTAAACGCAGTCTTAGGAATCTGGAAGGTTCAAATCCACACTACTCTCAAGTCTCTCGTTTGCGATTTTCACGTTTATTGACCCTTCGGTTCACTCAAAATTACTTTATTGGTTGTAATATTTTAGCGGCATGCATAGAAGATACTGACTCATAGTACGAAGTGACTGGCGATCTTGGTGGTTTTCCAGATCAGATACTTATTTAAATTCGTCAAAAACTTGTTGTTTCTTTTGCAATTCTGAATTGCTTTTTTGTTTGAGTCCACTGGATGAAGTAAGTGGCGAAAGCAAATAAATAGATCTGGAAAAAATTTTAAGATTGTTGGTTCGTCGTCTGGAATGTGGTTGCAATTGGAATGCTGTAAGCGTTAAAGCTAAAATGAAGCACTGAGCTGTTAAAAATTAGACGTTAATTATGTATTCGATTTGGAACTTACAGATGGACTAGGTGGGTCAAGAACTTCGAAAAGAAGAGACGAAGGTAGATTTATGGTAAAAGAAGCGCGCTTGGAGTCAGATACTTTTGATTGCAATACCGCTGCTGAGTTTTACGGGGCATTCCGCGCCATTTTGCACAATTTTTTCAATTAATGTCTTAAATTTTTTCAAACTTTGAAAATTAGTAGAGTCTGGGCCAGTAGACAGAAAGCCGAGGAGAAAGTTTGGTTAGTTCTTTCACGTTGCCAAAATTGTACCAGATGCACGGTTTTGCTAGGAAGAAGATGAGAATTTGAAGGCGCTGGAATGAGGCAATTTCCTATAACTCTTTGAAATAATAAATTTTTAATGTTTTAAAGTGAAATATAATTTTTCAAAACAATTCTTCAATGATTAAAGAGTCTTCGGCTTTCTTACCGTCCTCTATGGCTTTTAGAAGCGGCCGAAGACGATTTTACAACTGTAATGTGAGTAGAAGTACCGCAGAAAAAGCAATTTTTTTTTTCAATTCCATTCTTCTTCACGGCTAGTAACTTGAATTCAAAAAAGAAAACGGCATTACAAACTTTTATTATGTTACAGAGCAGAAAATTCTACGCAAAATAATTCTTTTTCAAAACATTTAAAGATGCTTTCTTTTTTATATACATTTGAATCTTATTTTTATTATGTCTGCAAAAATGTCGAAAAAAATACGCAGTTTAATTATGCATTTAAAAGTAAAAGACGTATCAGTTCTAGTAAGTTAAAAACTATTAAATTTTGTTGATGTTGGGTTAAATTGCAGGTTCCTTAAAATAGATATGTCAAGCAGCAGCCTGGTGAGTTTTGCAACTTTGGGGGTACAATTTGGCAGAGGATCTATTTTTCCAAACCGTCTTTTCGGTTTTCATGTCGAGGCTCAGGCTTTACTAAAAAAAATTTTAAAAAATTCTGAGGTATCAGGTGAAAGAAGTATGTGAACTGAAGTGGAATGGCTTTGGTTAGGAAATAATTGCTGTAGATGGGGGAGCAAAATGCGTGGGACCGAAAATGTTCACGTTTTTCAGTTTGTTCGCAGACAGGTGCTTCGGGTGGTCTTGTTGTTTGCCTTTGATGAGCGTTTTTTGTAGAACCCTGTCGGCTTTTACTTGTTGGTTATTGGGTCGTCTGTAGTCGGTAACATGAATTTTTAAGTTGCATTGATAAAGTTTTGAGTAGGGTGTAGAAAACTGGGATTTTTCCCTTTTGTTTTGCTCGCAGACAGCAGGTAAGCGAAACCCTTCTTTGTCCGATCTGTTTCTTTCTCAGGACTTCAATATTTTGAGTTTGCATTAGTTAGTGCGGTATATATTTACCACTGTTATTGGTTGGCTGATATTCTAATTGTAATTTCTTTGTATTCCGTTTTTAAGAGTTTGTACCAGAGTGATTCTGGTAACAAATTCTATTTCTAAATCAGTTTAATTTTGCCAACACAGGTCATCGAAAGATATCCGGAAATTTATTTGTGGACTGACCAATGTCAAATGTTAATGCTTGCACTTCATGTGGTTCGAAAGAAATTTCTCTCGTAGATGGTTTCTTTTACTGTGATATTTGTGGCGAACAGATTCAGGTTGGCTTTTATACTTCTCTCCAATTATCCTATTTGAGGTCATCATTATTCTGTGGCCATTTGATGTTGAAATTTTTTAAAGTTAAATATTGGAATTTAGACCCGCCGAGAGATAGAAGCCGATGAGGATGTTGCTTATTCTTTCAATTTCGGGAAACTACCTGCTCTTAAGAAGAAAACTCCTCATAAAAAAAAAACAGAACGGAGTACAGAGAATCGTAGGGTGGGAAATCGAGCAGTATTGCTATGATTTTTTTTGTGTATTTTCTACTACCTGTTATTTATTTTTAGGGCTTAGACATCTCGGACACTGAAAAATCTTATTTGGCATCAGTTGTCGGAAAGGACAGTCCGACTGTTTTAGAAAGAACTGGTTCTCGGCTTGCCACTTTCAGCATGCTGGTCGGGCGGTACTGCAGTATCTTGATACGTGATTTTGGAGTGCCGCCAGTTGTCACGGTTGGTTTTCAAGTCATTTTTTTTCCATTTCACTACGAAATTGTTAAACCAACTGCTTATAGAAGCATGCTTTATACCTACTTCAAACGTACTTGAAGAAGTTTCATATCGCTTTCTGCGATGAGGAGATCAACGATGGTCAGTCATATAAGAGGCTAATAAAAAATAAAGCCTAGTAAGTTTTTTTGATTAGCTAGTAGTCTTTATGTTTTGGTGAAATATTATTTCTATCGAGGGCATTTATGAGGAGGGTACTTTAACGACAACATTTTTTTGTGTTAATGCCATGTTTAAATAGTTTTTGTTTTCGGCGTTAACTTAATGTATGAGGACAAACAAAAAAACTGATACTTAGTTCTATTTCCGCTTTGGATTTTGTCGTTTTTTCAGTCGGAAACAAGTATTAGAGGCAAAAAAAAGAAAACTGGATAAAGCAGAGATGGAAATGTCGAAAGGCACCAATATTCTTTCTCATCTAACGGGCGACATGAATGATGAGGTGACTATGTTTTTCTACGATTGGTAGTTTTTTTAAAGTTTTTTTACTATTTGCATCGATATCCTAGTATATCTACAAAGCTTTTTTTGTTACATAGTTGTTTTTAGCGCTTATATGGTACAGAAATTGTTTTAACATTTTCACAATGCTATTATGCAATTGCAGGGTGGTGCGACGGAAGCTGTAAGTGCAGTTGAGTTGCTAGAAACTAAGTTGAACTCTTTATCTGTTTCACAAGTGAGTCTTATTATTTAGTTTCTAAGTATTTGGTGATTAGTTTCAAACTTCAGTTAAGTGCAGTATATGACATAATTTTTGACAGATTTATTTCAGCTTGCAGTTTTTCAAGAAAACGGGTTTTTATGCATTTTTTTGAATTTTGCAGCTGTTGAAAGTGCTAACATAGAGAGGAAAATATTGCTTGTTGATTTTACGTGGCCGACCCCGGTTCCTTTACGGTTTCTCATGAAATTAGCTCATTGCGTTGTTACGTTTTACAAACACAGTTTTTTCCTCTGAGTTCTTAATTGGTTAGCAGTTTAGCCTACAGTTTCACTAGCGTCATAGAGGCTTCAATATTACTTCATTACCTCTTGATATTTATCTTTTAAAACTGGATGAAATATCTGGGGAAAACTTATTTCAAATAGTAACGAGAGAGGTGTACACTTCACTGTGCAGTTTAAAGTTTCTTAGTAAAAGGGACATAAGAATTTTTATGTTAAGCTATACCCTATCTCACTGAACCTCTCTACTGTTTTGATTAGCGAAGTTTGGTTGTGGATTAGCGAAGTGACGGCAGTTATTGGTTTTTATTGAAATTGATCTGCTTTGAAAATTGAAAACTTGCTCCAACTTTTGTGGAGCAAAATATTTATGGTTATGAGGGGAGCAAGGGATCTTTTAAAATACTGACTTTCTGCAGACTACGTGCAAAGTGGAAAGCCTACATTTCAAAACAGTTTTAAAAGTATTGAAGTTTTAAACTAGAAGTTTGTGCAAGATCTTGAAAATTCCTACGGACGGTGGGAATGGGCAGATAAATTACGACGAAATCAAAGTAAGATCCGCAGAATTCACGGTTTTAACATCTGCCTATTCAGGTTATTGCTCATTACTTTGGGCAACTTCATGACCGACTTATTCTAACTGTAGTAAAGTCGGAGTGGCTAGCTGATTTTTGACAGGGCGGGAGTAGAAATTCTGTTTTATATGGGGACTGTGCGTTATTTGGATATTAATTGAAAGGAAAACTAAAATTTGGAAAGCATGGAGGTAGTGGAAGTTTTAATCTTTTGGTCTTGTTTCAAAATTTATAGTTTTCTAGAAGACTGAGTAAAGTTATAGTTCCCAGAAGCTAGTTGATTTGAGCACAGTTCTATGGAAGTTATATTCTAGCTTCTCTGGAAATACTTCAGGAATATGGATAAAAGTATTCTTTTGAGGAACAGTTGTGACCAGGGTTGCAAGGACCTGAAAATATTTTTTAATCGGTTTTTTCGTACTACATTTATACATTTACCTTATTTCGTTGTAGATGTCTGCATTACCATTGTCGGATGAAATTCTTATAACGATGTTGTATATTTCCTGCTTATGTGCTGGATGCACTTGGATGTTACCATCTGATTTATCACGGTTGGTTATAAAAGTAATCACTGCAAAGGTGTCAGTTACATTGCTTTATTAAGTTGGTGCACTTTTCAGGTGGTTTAGGGAAGGAAGATTACCGATGAGCCATCTTCAAAGACTAGCATTACTTCCCGAAAATAGGGACAATAAACGTCAACAGAATTACACGATTACTTTCCTCACAGCTGCTGTTTCAGTAATTATTTCGTGATTTATAATTTCAGTTTTGTAAGGATTTCGAAGAGTAATTTTGCCGCAAACGTGTTTCAAAAATTTATGGGTTGAAAACGTTGCTGGAACGTTTATATTAGTGGTAAAAGCTGAAATTTAAGATTTCACCACTGTATCGGCAAATCCACACTATTTTTGCATTGTCTCAGATGACACAGGTGCCAGATCAGCCGATCCAAATGAATTTTGAACAGGTTTTTCTGTTTACGTTTAGTTTTAATGTCACTTGTGGCCTTTTTCCAATGAAGTAACTAGTTTTCTCTAAGTTTGGGTCAGTTGCCGTTAATGGTAACATGTTTGTATTATAATGGAATTCTTTTTCTAGATAATTTTGCGGCTGTGTTTCAACCTCAATCTTCCTAATGAATTTATGGAGCGCGTAAGAGTGTTATGCGAAAAGTGCCCTCCCTCAGTCTCATTCAGCGAAAAATTCTCAAGACAGTATGGTGTATTTGACTGTGAGAAATTTTTGGACGCTTCATTTAGTTTGTCACGAAGGCAGGTTATATTTGGGTTCGAATGGAATCGTTGTCCCGATTTGAAAAAGGGCATGCAAAAGAGCTATTTTAGGGATTTGGAGTTAGTTTTTAT